TTCACCACAAATACTTCTTCCATAATCAACTGGGAAAAAAAATCTTCTCCAATCAGAAACCCCACACACCTGGGAAAAAACATTCACTATTACCTTCAAAGCATCAAAATGCAGCTCCCATTGGGAAACATACCTGAAAATTCTCCATCAATGGTACCTAACGTCCGCTAAATTGGCCTTATACTACCCCCAACATTCACACACCTGTTGGAGACACTGCGGAGAAATAGGCTCACTTCTTCACCTACTCTGGGCATGTAAATCCCTCAAATCCTATTGGAACAAGGTTTTTCAAATAATCTCCTCAATCACAGAAACACTAGTAACCCCACATCCAGCTTTAGCGCTCCTCCACATCGGAATAGATAAATTCCCCATACACTCACGCACCATCATTATCCACATTTTAGCAGCGGCAAAACTGAATATCACCAAACTATGGCGATCCACTACCACTCCTCATATCTGACCTTAATCTCCAATGCGAGATGGAAAGAAGAACAGCCCTTCACAACTCCTCTTACCACAAATTTACGATTCAATGGTCTCGATGGTTAAAAAACCCCAATTGCTCAATACATTGATTACTATTAGATACCGCTATAACATGTTTTGTCACCTCTGAACTGGTGCCTCCCTCCTCCCCTCTTCCCCTTACCCCGTGTTCTCTCCCTATCCATACCTTACTAGTTCGCCAACATGGTTCACAACACACCGAGCATACCTCTCATGTCTATATATAACAAAGACCTCTAGTTCCCCGGCCAAATGGTGGGGATCTTCCACTTTTTCTTTCTCATACAATGCTTTTCCCAAATGTGAACCTTTTCATGTTGATGTTCGTACACCCTTGTTTGTATGTTAAAATCTTTTAATAAAAATTATTTGAATAAAAATGTACTCTGTTAAGAAATTTGAAGTGTGCAAACTATGAAAACTTTGAAACAGGTTCCTAGTTCATGTTGTCATTGTCTTGATCCATTTTCTCCAAATACCATTAAATAGTAGACATGTGTGATTCATTTAATTACAAATCAAAAATCAGACAAATTTTTGTTATTTGGAGATTTGGATGCATCAGAATCTCCAAATTAAAATAATAACAAATTTCAACTAATCCAAAATAAATAAAAAAAAATACAACAAAAAAACTATATCAAACCATATTATTATAGAGAAAATTGATGATGTGAGATCAATATATGCAATAACTAGAGATGAGTGAATTATTCAAAAATTTGATTCGACTGATTCGGCGAATTCGTGAAAAAATTTGATTTGAGTCGAATATATTCGCTGTGAATTTAACTTATAAAAGGGTGTTTCTAGGCTTCAGAGAGCCTTTATATTAGTGCAGAACACTGTACCTTTAATTTAAATGCCCTTGGAGTCTGCTGGGGAAGAGAAATAATACTGTCAGTCAGTATGACATGCAGATGAGTGCCGTCGATCTTAGAATCACCGCACACTTCACTCATTTGGGCAGTCACGGGGCCAAAACCAGAGTGTGGAGCCACAGTGTGGCGGTGGAGGCAGCAGCAATGGGAGGCCATACAGCACCCTATGACAAAATGGAACCCACCAGCAGTGTGAGGAGACCTGAAAGTGGCACATGGCAGAGTGTGGCGATGGAGACAGCAGCAATGGGAGGCCGTACAGGGACCCATGACACACTGTGGACCTGGCAGCAGCATGAGGAGGCGGTACAGGGGCCCATGGCAGATTAGGGGCCTGGCCGCAGCAATGAGAGGCCCGTAATCTGCCAGCACCCTATCACAAAATGGAACCCAGCAGCAGTGTGAGGAGACCTGAAAGTGGCACATGGCAGAGTGTGGCGATGGAGACAGCAGCAATGGGAGGCCGTACAGGGACCCATGACACACTGTGGACCAGGCAGCAGCATGAGGAGGCGGTACAGGGGCCCATGGCAGATTAGGGGCCTAGCCGCAGCAATGTGAGGCCCGTAATCTGCCAGCACCCTATGACAAAATGGAACCCCAGCAGCAGTGTGAGGAGACCTGAAAGTGGCACATGGCAGAGTGTGGCGATGGAGACAGCAGCAATGGGAGGCCGTACAGGGACCCATGACACACTCTGGACCTGCCAGCACCCTATGACAAAATGGAACCCACCAGCAGTGTGAGGAGACCTGAAAGTGGCACATGTTTGGGGCATGATTCATGGCGGATTTAGTCAGTTGTGTCAGGAACTGGTGGTTTGAAATCAAGACTAATCCACGCCTGATTCATTTTCACAAACGTGAGTCTCTCCACACTTTGGGTGGACAGTCGTGTCCTCCGCAGAGTTACAATACCTCCTGCCGCACTAAACACGCGCTCCGATGCCACGCTACTGGCCGGGCATGACAGCCTTTCAAGAGCAAATTCAGCTAGTTGGGGCCAAAGGTCAAGTTTCGTTGCCCAGTAGTCAAAGGGATTGTCTACCTCGGTTGGCAGGGTGCTGTCCAAGTAGGCCCAAGCCTGTTGTTTGAGGTCCTGCTCCAGGTCCACCTGATGCTGCTGCTGCTGCTGGTTAATAGTTTCCTCACTGCGCTGGTGAAGAAAGCTACTCATCATCGACTGCAGACTGAGGCAGCCGCTGCTGGTGGAGCTGCACTGCTGCTCCTACCACCCCACCCCTCCCCTGCTGCCATGGCAGTGGAACGCGAGCGCACAGGGCCCACAGTGTCTGAGGATGGACGTTGGCGCAGAAAGGAAGAGACCAACTGACTACATAGGTGGTTTTTATAGTACTTTATTTTGGCCTCCCTCTCAGCAGGTGTGAAAAAGGCCACCATTTTTGAACGGTAGCGTGGGTCCAACAAGGTGGACAGCCAAAAGTCATCCCTCTGTCTGATGGTTATTATTCGGCTGTCGCTACGCAAGCAGCCGAGCATGCTATGGGCCATTTGTGCCAAGGAATGCGAGGGACTCCCTGCCTCCATCTCCACAGCATACTGCCATGGTGCGTCTGGGTCCTCTGTCTCCTCCTCCTCCTCCTCCTCTACCAGATGCTCCTGCTCCTCCACTCCTGTCCGCTGAGTGGAAAAACCACCCATTTCACTCAATAATTCCTGAGCACCAATGTCCTCCTCTACCTCCTCCTCTTCTTCCTGTCCTGCCCCCACAGGGGTCATGTGGCGTTGAGATCTGTGCGCCACGTCTACCGCACCCTGACCAGCCATTGTTAACAGCATTTGTTCCAGGACGTGCAACAGAGGAATGACGTCGTTCATCCCATAGTCCTGCCGACTCACGAATAGCGTGGCCTCCTCAAAGGGCCTGAGCAAGCGGCAGGTGTCACGCATGAGCTGCCAATGGCTGACATCGAAGTTACACAGGGGAGTACCTTTATCCGCTTATAACATCAGGAAATCGGTGATGGCCTTTCGCTGTTCGTAAAGGCGGTCTAACATATGTAGGGTTGAATTCCACCTTGTTGCAACGTCACAGCATGAGGAGTCGGTACGGGGGCCCATGGCAGATTACGGGCCTGGCAGCAGCAATGGGAGGCCCGTAATCTGCCAGCACCCTATGACAAAATGGAACCCAGCAGCAGTGTGAGGAGACCTGAAAGTGGCACATGGCACAGTGTGGCGATGGAGACAGCAGCTGGGAGGCCGTACTGGGACCCATGACACACTGTGGACCTGGCAGCAGCATGAGGAGGCGGTATGGGGGCCCATGGCAGATTAGGGGCCTGGCAGCAGCAATGGGAGGGCCGTAATCTGCCAGCACCCTATGACAAAATGGAACCCAGCAGCAGTGTGAGGAGACCTGAAAGTGGCACATGGCAGAGTGTGGCGATGGAGACAGCAACAATGGGAGGCCGTACAGGGGACCCATGACACACTGTGGACCTGGCAGCAGCATGAGGAGGCGGTACAGGGGCCCATGGCAGATTAGGGGCCTGGCAGCAGCAATGAGAGGCCCGTAATCTGCCAGCACCCTATCACAAAATGAAACCCAGCAGCAGTGTGAGGAGACCTGAAAGTGGCACATGGCAGAGTGTGGCGATGGAGACAGCAGCAATGGGAGGCCGTACAGGGACCCATGACACACTGTGGACCTGGCAGCAACGTGAGGAGGCGGTACGGGGGCCCATGGCAGATTAGGGGCCTGGCAGCAGCAATGGGAGGCCCGTAATCTGCCAGCACCCTATGACAAAATGGAACCCAGCAGCAGTGTGAGGACACCTGAAAGTGGCACATGGCAGAGTGTGGCGATGGAGACAGCAGCAATGGGAGGCCGTACAGGGACCCATGAGACACTGTGGACCTGGCAGCAGCGTGAGGAGGCGGTACAGGGGCCCATGGCAGATTAGGGGCCTGGCCGCAGCAATGGGAGGCCCGTAATCTGCCAGCATCCTATGACAAAATGGAACCCACCAGCAGTGTGAGGAGACCTGAAAGTGGCACATGGCAGAGTGTGGCGATGGAGACAGCAGCAATGGGAGGCCGTACAGGGACCCATGAGACACTGTGGACCTGGCAGCAGCATGAGGAGGAGGCGGTACAGGGGCCCATGGCAGATTAGGGGCCTGGCTGCAGCAATGTGAGGCCCGTAATCTGCCAGCACCCTATCACAAAATGGAACCCAGCAGCAGTGTGAGGAGACCTGAAAGTGGCGCATGGCAGAGTGTGGCGATGGAGACAGCAGCAATGGGAGGCCGTACAGGGACCCATGAGACACTGTGGACCTGGCAGCAGCATGAGGAGGCGGTACAGGGGCCCATGGCAGATTAGGGGCCTGGCCGCAGCAATGTGAGGCCCGTAATCTGCCAGCACCCTATCACAAAATGGAACCCAGCAGCAGTGTGAGGAGACCTGAAAGTGGCACATGGCAGAGTGTGGCGATGGAGACAGCAGCAATGGGAGGCCGTACAGGGACCCATGAGACACTGTGGACCTGGCAGCAGCGTGAGGAGGCGGTACAGGGGCCCATGGCAGATTAGGGGCCTGGCCGCAGCAATGGGAGGCCCGTAATCTGCCAGCACCCTATGACAAAATGGAACACAGCAGCAGTGTGAGGAGACCTGAAAGTGGCACATGGCAGAGTGTGGCGATGGAGACAGCAGCAATGGGAGGTGGTACAGGGACCCATGACACACTGTGGACCTGGCAGCAGCGTGAGGAGGCGGTACAGGGGCCCATGGCAGATTAGGGGCCTGGCAGCAGCAATGGGAGGCCCGTAATCTGCCAGCACCCTATGACAAAATGGAACCCACCAGCACTGTGAGGAGACCTGAAAGGGGCACATGGCAGAGTGTGGCGATGGAGACAGCAGCAATGGGGCCGTACAGGGACCCATAACACACTGTGGACCTGGCAGCAGCGTGAGGAGGCGGTACAGGGGCCCATGGCAGATTAGGGGCCTGGCAGCAGCAATGGGAGGCCCGTAATCTGCCAGCACCCTATGACAAAATGGAACCCAGCAGCAGAGTGAGGAGAGACCTGAAAGTGGCACATGGCAGAGTGTGGCGATGGAGACAGCAGCAATGGGAGGCCGTACAGGGACCCATGACACACTGTAGACCTGGCAGCAGAGATGAGGACGCTAATAGTCGTCTCCCCACGCTGCTGCTGGGGGGACTTTTTAACATAGGCCTCTGTATGGCCTTCAATTTAAGCTGCTTACGCTTTGCCACTCTGCCATGGGCCCCTGTACCGCCTCCTCTTGCTGCTGCCAGGTCCAGAGTGTTTCATGGGTCCCTGTACGGCCTCCCATTGCTGCTGACTTCATCGCCAGACTCTGCCATGTGCCACTTTCAGGTCTCCTTACACTGTTGGTGGGTTCCATTTTGTGATAGGGTGCTGTATGGCCTTCCATTGCTGCTGCCTCCACCGCCACCCTGCGCCATGTGCCTCTGTTGTCTGCTCACGCTGCTGACGGCTTACGCTTTTTAACCGAGGCCTGTGTTTGGCTTCCGAATACTGCTGCATCCACCGCCACCCTGCGCCATGTGCCTCTGTCGTCTGCTCACGCTGCTGACGGCTTCCGCTTTTTAACCTAGGCCTGCGTATGCTTCCGAATACTGCTGCCTCCACCGCCACCCTGAGCCATGTGCCTCTGTCGTCTGCTCACGCTGCTGCCAGGTCCATACTGATTCATGGCCCCCTGTACCGGCTCCTCATGAACGTGGTTCAGCGGGTTTGCATCACTTAACGGCAAATCGTTGACAAACGCTGGGACGTTCAGTGTTGTGCGCATTAAGCCAGAAACCAAAGGGCAGCACAGACCTGTTATTACTCGCTCAAGCATGGCTGAACAAAACCAGTCTCTACCACAAATTGGACCAAGACCTGCCCAGGGTCTCGTAAGTAGATTGCATGGAGGAGTAGAGTTCGTTATTGGAATTAACTGTGAGGGACTTTTAAACCTAGGCCTGTGTATGGCCTTCAATTGAAGCTGCTTCTGCTCCGCCACTCTGTCATTGGACTCTTGATAGTCGTCGACTATCAAGAGTCCAATGGCAGAGTGGCGGAGCAGAAGCAGCTTCAATTGAAGGCCATACAGAGGCCTATGTTAAAAAGTCCCCCAGCAGCAGCGTGGGGAGACGACTATCAAGAGTCCAATGGCAGAGTGGCGGAGCAGAAGCAGCTTCAATTGAAGGCCATACACAGGCCTAGGTTTAAAAGTCCCTCACAGTTAATTCCAATAACGAACTCTACTCCTCCGTGCAATCTACTTACGAGACCCTGGGCAGGTCTGGGTCCAATTTGTGTTAGAGACTGGTTTTGTTCAGCCATGCTTGAGCGAGTAATAACAGGTCTGTGCTGCCCTTTGGTGTCTGGCTTAATGCGCACAACACTGAACGTCCCAGCGTTTGTCAACGATTTGCCGTTAAGTGATGCAAACCTGCTGAACCACGTTCATGAGGAGCCGGTACAGAGGGGGCCATGAATCAGTATGGACCTGGCAGCAGCAGTGTGAGCAGACGACAGAGGCACATGGCGCAGGGGGGGCGGTGGAGGCAGCAGTATTCGGAAGCCATATGCAGGCCTAGGTTAAAAAGCGGAAGCCGTCAGCAGCGTGAGCAGACGACAGAGACACATGGCGCAGGGTGGCAGTGTGGATGCAGCAGTATTCGGAAGCCAAACACAGGCCTCGGTTAAAAAGCGGAAGCCGTCAGCAGCGTGAGCAGACGACAGAGGCACATGGCGCAGGGTGGCGGTGGATGCAGCAGTATTCGGAAGCCAAACACAGGCCTCGGTTAAAAAGCGGAAGCCGTCAGCAGCGTGAGCAGACGACAGAGGCACATGGCGCAGGGTGGCGGTGGAGGCAGCAGCAATGGAAGGCCATACAGCACCCTATGACAAAATGGAACCCACCAACAGTGTAAGGAGACCTGAAAGTGGCACATGGCAGAGTCTGGCGATGAAGTCAGCAGCAATGGGAGGCCGTACAGGGACCCATGACACACTCTGGACCTGGCAGCAGCAAGAGGAGGCGGTACAGGGGCCCATGGCAGAGTGGCGAAGCGTAAGCAGCTTAAATTGAAGGCCATACAGAGGCCTATGTTAAAAATAATAACATGTTTGGGGCATGATTCATGGCGGATTTAGTCAGTTGTGTCAGGAACTGGTGGTTTGAAATCCAGACTAATCCACGCCTGATTCATCATTTTCACAAACGTGAGTCTCTCCACACTTTGGGTGGACAGTCGTGTCCTCCGCGGAGTTACAATACCTCCTGCCGCACTAAACACGCGCTCCGATGCCACGCTACTGGCCGGGCATGACAGCCTTTCAAGGGCAAATTCAGCTAGTTGGGGCCAAAGGTCAAGTTTCGTTGCCCAGTAGTCAAGGGGATTGTCTACCTCGGTTGGCAGGGTGCTGTCCAAGTAGGCCCAAGCCTGTTGTTTGAGCTCCTGCTCCAGGTCCACCTGATGCTGCTGCTGCTGCTGCGGCTGGTTAGTAGTTTCCTCACTGCGCTGGTGAAGAAAGCTACTCATCATCGACTGCAGACTGAGGCAGCCGCTGCTGGTGGAGCTGCCACTGCTCCTACCACCCCACCCCTCCCCTGCTGCCATACAGCGGAACGCGAGCGCACAGGGCCCACAGTGTCTGAGGATGGACGTTGGCGCAGAAAGGCAGAGACCAACTGACTACATAGGTGGTTTTTTTATAGTACGTTATTTTGGCCTCCCTCTCAGCAGGTGTGAAAAAGGCCACCATTTTTGAACGGTAGCGAGGGTCCAACAAGGTGGACAGCCAAAAGTCATCCCTCTGTCTGATGGTTATTATTCGGCTGTCGCTACGCAAGCAACCGAGCATGCTATGGGCCATTTGTGCCAAGGAATGCGAGGGACTCCCTGCCTCCATCTCCACAGCATACTGCCACGGTGCGTCTGGGTCCTCTGTCTCCTCCTCCTCCTCCTCCTCTACCAGATGCTCCTGCTCCTCCACTCCTGTCCGCTGAGTGGAAAAACCACACCCATTTCACTCAATAATTCCTGAGCACCAATGTCCTCCTCTACCTCCTCCTCTTCTTCCTGTCCTGCCCCCACAGGGGTCATGTGGCGTTGAGATCTGTGCGCCACGTCTACCGCACCCTGACCAGCCATTGTTAACAGCATTTGTTCCAGGACGTGCAACAGAGGAATGACGTCGTTCATCCCATAGTCCTGCCGACTCACGAATAGCGTGGCCTCCTCAAAGGGCCTGAGCAAGCGGCAGGTGTCACGCATGAGCTGCCAATGGCTGACATCATCGAAGTTACACAGGGGAGTACCTTTATCCGCTTGTAACATCAGGAAATCGGTGATGGCCTTTTTCGCTGTTCGTAAAGGCGGTCTAACATGTGTAGGGTTGAATTCCACCTTGTTGCAACGTCGCAGATCAGGCGATGCTGTGGAATTCCGTTCTGCCGCTGCAGCTCAAGGAGGGTGTGCTTTGCGGTGTAGGAATGGCTGAAATGCATGCAAAGTTTACGTGACATTTTAAGGATGTCTTGCAGTGGGATGGTGGATTTTAGGAAACCGCTTGACAACCAGATTGAACACGTGAGCCATGCATGGCGCATGGCACAACCTTCCTTGACGCAGAGCAGACACCATGTTCTTTCCGTTGTCGGTCAACATGGTTCCGATTTTCAGTTTGCGCGGAGACAGCCATCTGTCGATTTCTCTGTTCATTACACTCAGAAGTTTCCTCCCCTGTGTGACTACGTTCGCCAAGGCATACCAGGTGCAGCACAGCGTGACACCGTTGCGCCCTGCACATGTGATATGCCGGTCGGGTAATGGGACTTGGCACGGGGGTGGCGGCTGAGGACACGGCAGAAGAAGAGGTGGTAGAGGCGGACATCTTTGCTGGACCAAGGACGTGCAAACGTGAAGGCAAAAGCGTCGTGACCTGTCCAAGTTGCTGGTGCGGCTGTGCCGGCACCACGTTCACCCAGTGGGCCGTAAATGACATGTACTGTCCCTGACCGTAGTTACAGCTCCACACGTCGGTGCTGCCGTGCACTTTGGCAGAGACCGACATGCTCAAAGACTGGCCCACCATCTCTTCTACATGTGAATGCAGGGCTGGCACTGCCTTTTTGGCAAAGAAATGCCGGCTTGGCACTCTCCACCGCGGCGCGGCACAAGCCATCATTTCTCGGAAAGGTGCTGAGTCCACCACTTGGAAAGGGAGGGACTGCAGCACCAGCAACTTGGACAGGAGGACGTTCAGCTTCTGCACCGTCGGGTGCGTGCTCGCAAACTGTTGTCTCTTGGAAACGGATTCCAAGAAAGACTGCTGACGGAATCCGTGAAGAGGAGTAGCAGGAGAAGGAGCATCTGAACGAGCGGAAGATGCCAACGAGCGACAACTCCCCTCAGCAGAGGTGTTGGAGCCTTGACTGGCTGATAGAGGGCGATTGACGTCGGGTGACGGAGCAAGTAACGGAGCGGGTGATGGAGCGGGGGCTGGGGCAGGCAGAACCGCCCGTATCTTTATCACGGTTTTCCCAGGCCACCAAATGGCGACGCTGCATATGCTGACGCAACGCTGTAGTCCCAACATGGGCCCCCTGGCCACGCTTGACTTTCTGGCCACATAGTCGACATACGGCTACGTTTACTTCCTCGGGCGGCTTGAGGAAAAATTGCCACACCGCCGAGTAGGAAACTTTGCCCCCGCTACTCCTCACTGGCTGACTGCTACTTCCTCCGTGCACACCGGCACCACTACTGGCCGTGGTGGTAGGCTGCAGTGGAGCTGGTGCTCTACTCCGTGGCCGTTTGCCTCCACTGACACACTGCTGCGACCCTGCTGCCCTCCTGGGCAACCCACCGACTGTTTTGCTCACTGCCAAGCTGGCACCCTCTTCTCCTGATGATGCGGAAGCAATAGCCTGATGACGACGAGGCTGCCAAGTGCGATCAGCCTCATCATCATCAATTAGGGTCTCCGCCTCACTACTAGCCCCCTCGGCTGCGTGTGGGTCAGGAGACAGACCTGTCTCTAGACCGGCTACCGAGCCACTCTCCTCGCCAGTACTTCTTCGCCTGGCTGCTGAAGAGGTGGATGTCTCCCCCCGTTCCTGACCGCCCTCTCTGTT